GGACAACGACGAAGCAGTCACGATGTTGTTAATGATCTACAGTGCATGAATGCTGTCATGATCTCATATTTACGAATCGAAGCATGTACTGCGAGGAACAGCTTAGCAACTTGCATGGGCATGCGGACACATATTTCCAACATCAAACGGGCACTTCGGATAATGCTACCCAAATCAATGAGGCAAAACCGCCCGCAAGAAGCGGCAGGGCTGGCAAAGGTGGAAACAAACCTGTGAATGAACACAAGGCTGTTCAAGGGTTGCATGCGTTTTCAGTTTACAAGACCAAACTCACATAATGGAGCGCGAAGTTGGGGAATGCACTCGCCTAGTTGCACGTTTACCAGCAAGCCCTCAAGAACTGGAGCAACAATATCATAGATGGGGCGGCTCATGATGACGGAATGGACGATCATACAATGTCATGAACGGAAGGTTCATAGTGAGCGAGTACACCAAGGCGTCGGACATCACAAACTGGGAGGGCGACCGCAAGGGGGAATCTAAGTGGGAAGAAACGACCACTCCAAGCTGGACGTAGACCTCTGGTATTCGTTAAAGGACAAACTAGAGGTAGCATGAACTCGGGGGAAGCTTAAGGGCCGGCATGACGGGGACAGCCGATTGCCTACCAGAAAAGCTAGAAGTGGTACCCTGCGTTTACCGGGGATAGTTTCCCGCAGAATATGAACTTGGCCATGAACCCATCGTGTCGACAACGGCTGAGTGTGGTGACTGTGCAGCTTGAACAGTGAAGCGCGTGCGTAGAATCATTGGGCAAGTTCTGATCATCCTATCCACTACCGCTGCCATTCAGGTATTCAACCTTGAGAATCATCATGCCCAGCGGCAGTGCTTGTTTTGGTGACTGGCAGCGCGATTGTGTCTAAACTCCAGATACGTTGAACATCGACGCGTACCAGACGCTCTTCGTTAAGTGCGTGCCTGGATTGTGTTTGGAAGAACGTGATCGATGCCGACAGGGAGATCGCCGACGCATGGACACTGGCCAGTTTATCGATGGCGAAAGGGAAACCGGACGTCAATGGAGACGACGCAGGTTACCACGATGAGGTAGGTCGTTGGTGGCCTTGGATGGAGGATGTGGCCGCAAAAGGCAACGCGAACGAAGTTGGCGAACGAAGGGGTGAGGTCTGAGGACCTGCGTGCTACATGTGTGGAACGTACGGGGACATGGTCAATATCTGCGCCACTTAAAGGGGCCCGTGAACGGAAAGGTGGCGGAAGGAGGGTAATGCCGATGATTTCAAGGGGTGCTCAGGAGTGCAGGCGGGATGATGCAAAGAGGGGTGCCATGGCGCAAAGGGCCACCTCGGGGTCGCGCGGAGGGGGGCAACGCAGGGGGCGCCCCAGGAGGTTACCGTGGTAGCTAAGTTCCAGGTTGGAAAGGTGGAGGTATGAGGGATTTGCGCCGATCAGTGAGATACAGTGCTGCAGATGCGGCGAACGGGGTCGCAGTGCAGCCCGCTGCCCCAGGAACCCCGGGGAGGTTACTCCGGGCCATCGGGGCGGGGGGCCCAGGGGGGCCCGCGCAGATGCCGGGGCAACCTCGTCCAGGGCTTGGGCGTTGCTGCGTCGAGTTGGACGGAGTCATCGACGAGTGCGGTGGCGCCGACAAAACCGAGACAGTGGGGCCACCTTAGGCCGCCTGGGGGGGCGCAAAACGGGGGGGCGCAGTCTCGCGTGGCGAAGGGGAGGAAACGGGAAGCCAGTTGAGGAGAGAAGGGGGGGGGCTCTGCGTGAGCGCGGAGCGATTTGCAACCGTGGCACTATTTGGGGCGACCGAATTGCGGAGGAGCGCATCAATCATGGGAAAAGTTGGATGCGGAAACTACGCCGCAGGACAGGTCGCGGAGATGGAGGTTCCCCAAGAACGGCGAACATTACTGCGCAGCGAATGGGCCAGTCGCCAGGGGCCATGGGCAACGAGTGATTTATTGCGAGGGAAAGACGAAGGAACGAAACATGTCCCGTGGTGAGCATGCCGATGCAGGTGGCGGGTGTGAGAAGTACTCGGGCTTGCTCGTGAGATGGTCGAAGCGGGGGATCCAATGGCGTTGGGTCGAGACAGCGACGCGCGAGCCTGCTGCTGCCTTGAGCACGAGGCCGCGGGGCAAAAGACGACGACCCACGAGGGGGGCGGTGATTGCCTGTTCACCGCCCAGGCCCCGAAAGGAGCTGCGAGTTGAGGGGGGGCGAGAATGGTGGGGGGAGGCTGACCGGGGATAGGGGGGTGTCCCCGGTCAGGGATTTCTCATGGCGGACCTGTGCCACTGAGCCCGGCTGAGCTCGTGGGCCCCAGTCGAGGTCCAGTCGCCATGCATGTGGAGGGCGATCAAGTGGACGACGGTGGGGGCAGTGAGTTGAGTGATGTTGAAGACGCGCTTGTAGGGGGCGAGACTGAAGTGCCCGCGATATTCGTTTGCGACGAGAGGTCAAGCAAAGGGGGAGTTGAGTTCCATGGCAAAATTCAACCACCATATCGGAGTTGGGCCCCGAACTGCGTCGGGGGGGAGGAAAGGGCGACGGCGCGCGAACGGATGATGGAATCACGAATGTAAGGAGTGCCTGTGGTTTCAATTGGCTGCGTGTGGTTGAGTGGCAGGAAGGGAGTCAGTTGAGAGGAAGCAAAAGGACACCCCGTTGCATTGATGCATTGCCAGGGCGCCAGGTGCACCTGGCGCCGCGTTTGGCTCGAGAGGATGTAGTCGAGACGTGATTATGTTTGCTGGTCTCGAGAGAGCAACTTTCAGGAACGATTACGAGTGGAGTCATCCATCGCGGCGCTCGCGGAGGCTGCTAGAGCTTCGAGCGGCCTAGACTTAGGAGCGGGGTTTGGCCCCGTCAGAGATTCCCAAGCCAATGGCGGAGTCGAAAGGGCGAGAAGTTGCTTGGAAGGTGATCTGAGGATGTGATCGGGTGCCCTGGGCGACATGTGCAAAGTTGAGTTCGGGGAGATCATGCGCGCGCGCGTTGGTAGATTGCCCGTGCATCGCCCCCCCTGCATGCGCGTCCACCATTGACGGTGGTGGAGAACAGGTCGTTAGAGCTGCCGCGGGCGCGCGTGTGACGTGGCTCCGTCCAAGCCAGGGGAATGCATGCGTCGTGCATCTGAAGACCCCCCCCTGAGAGGGGAAGCGGCAACCTCGTCGCGAGATAGGGGGGTGGGGTATTGTGGGGTGCGCGAAGCAAGCGAGGAGTTAATCGTCGGCGCTCGGAGTGGGGCCAGCAAATCCCGCGAATTTAGGCATGGGGGAAGTGAGGGGAAGAGATGGAGTATAGAAGTCGTTGCTCATTGGAGGGACTGAGGGGGTTACCTTTGCGACCGTACCCCTGCGCACTTGCAATGGGCGTTGGTGCCAGGGTGACATTGCCCGTGGCGGTGCCTAACCGAGACTCGACTGTTGATCTTGGGCCGTTAGAGACCCGCGGGGTTGTTGTAGAGGAGACGGGGTGCATAGCTATCGGGGCAAGGCCCAGGTGTTGTTGTGGTTGCAGAGCAGCGTTTTTTTTTTTTTTTTTTTGGGGGGGGGGCGATGCGCGGGCCGCGTGGCGCAGCATTTCGCGCAACAATTATCGAGCGGCTTTTGGGGCCAGACGATCTGAGCGTTCAGGGAAGGATAGCGGCGGCCCAAATGAAAATGGAGCCCGGCAGTGCCAGGCAAGCCCGGGGCAGGGAATGCGCATTGATCGATCATAGGGTGTTCGAAGACGGGTTAGCTATCCGACGAAACCGCGAACCCAGAAACAAAGTGCACGTGCCTAGAAACATGGGAGTGATACCCCCCAAGAGGCTATGCAATGAGAGATGAACACATGTGTCTATCCGGTCCCAGACGAGCTGAGGGACATGGCCGACGATTGGAGAGACGAGGGTGGAAGGGGGCTACGCGGACCTTGGACGGGATGGGCTGAGTTCCGCGTTATCTCTGGAGGTGATGACGACGTGCAACCAGCCCGCGGCGGTCAAGAGAAAGGGGGGGGAAACTGGAGATGATGAGAGGGCCAGAGAAGTTAGATGAGGAAGAAAAGGAGCACGAGGAGATTGGATCAGGGTTCTGGGGTGAATTGGGCGACGAGAGCGTGAACGTGAATGGGCCCGAGCATGCAGACGGATGACAAAGTCACGTGAGCGCGGATGGAGCGCGCGCCGGGGTATTCTTGATCGTGGAGGCCATCGGAGTCAGGGAGTGGTAATTCAAGGCGG